TTTCATGAATCAAAAATATCAATGATCTACCTCCACATTTTCATTCCTTTGTAAAAGTTTATTAAGTTGAACAAATTTATAAAATAAAGTTATGCTGCAAAGCATAGTTACATATATTTATATAAAATATTTATTAATTATATACAGTGGAACCTCAGTATACATCTGCTTTAAAATACGTCCAATTCAGAATACGCCCTGTTTGGACAAAACAAATTTGTCCAAACAGGGCGTATTCCGAATTGGACATATACGATTTAATTCAATTATACGCGCCATCTATGAACAAGTAGCACTATCGGTGTACTACACCAGACTAGACGTTCGCGGTGCTATGGTTTATAACTTTGTTAAATTTCTTCTGATTTTAATTTGTAAGTAACATTTTATTATTTTTATTAATCATGAATTGCAAAAGGGCAACAGAAAAATAAAAAAAATGACTAGAATCACAACGGAACTGAAAAAAGAAATTGTTGAGAAACATGAAGGTGGCACGCGTGTTCAAGATTTAACTGTTGCATTCCGTATTCCGAGAACGATATCGACAATCGTGAAAAATAAAGACATTATTAAATCAGGTCATTATTAAATGCGAAAGGGGTTAAAAATCAATTTCTAAACAGAGATCGAAGACATTAGATCATCTGGAATCTAATAGAAAGTACACTAAAAAAGATTGAAGCAAAGGAAGAAGTAATGGATCTAATAGAATTCGTATACAGGAGCAACTATTTCGAAGTCAACAATAAGTTCTACACGCAACAGACAGGCATAAGCATGGGATCAGTTATAGGCCCGAAGCTAGCAGAACTTGTCATGGTAGATATAGACCAAGCAATCAAAAAGTTTACAAGCATAAGGTTCTATAAACATTATGTGGATGACATAATTATACTATACGACCAAGAATTAACAAAATTAGAAGAAATAGAAGAAAAAATAAACAAATTAAACGATAACATCAAATTCAAGGTAGAAAATGAGGCAAACACAGAAATAAATTACCTCGACATAAAAATAATCAGGAAAGCAAACACGATTGAATTCAAGCTATACACAAAACCTTGCGAGATCAGAAAAGTGTTAAACTACAACTCAAACATTCCGCAGTACATAAAAGAAAACATTCGTCATGGAATAAAAAAAGATCGAGAACAGAACAAGCTCACTACAGACAAAGGAAAAACACCTCAACGAACTGCGAACAAAATTCCTATTAAACGGCTATCCAAAACAAATGCTAAACAACTGGGAAAGGAAAATGAACAACAAAAGGCTAGAAAATAAACAAAACGAAGGAAACACAGTACGATACATACCCTTCCCCTACATCCGTGGCTTCTTTGAACAGGTAAACAAAAGTTTTGATAAAATAAATATAAAGCTAGCCCCAACCTATAACAACTTGCAAAAAAAAATCCGGAAGACTGTACCTGACAGAAATAAACAACCAGACAAATACAACACTACCGAAGTCGTCTATAAAATACCTTGCACATGTGAACCCCCAAAAGTATACATCGGTAAAACAAAAAGAAAATTAGAAACAAGATTAAAAGAACACATCGCAGACCTGAAGTATAATAGAATCAACTCTGTTTTTTATGAACATTGCACGACCCACAACTGCAAAATAGATAAGAATGATGCAATAATAGTACACAAAGAAAAAAATTGGTACAAAAGAAAATTCAAGGAAAGCTACGAAATTACTATAAACAAAAATAATATTAACAAGAACCTAAGCATTGACATCCATAAAAACTGGCTACAATTATTAAAATAGAATGTTTATACAGTCGCAGGCGAGGCTGTGTGTAACACTCGGGAAGGGGTGACGTTACAAATTACGAGGCATGCGGGGGAGGCAGTCAAGTCCGGAGAAGATGGGAGGGGAAGGGAGCGGGAAGTACGGAAAGTGCCAGACTGATACCGTATACACAAGTCACAACCTATCGATGTAACAGACTGAAGAGGGGCGAAAGCCCGAAACGCATTTCTGTATGAATTAAAAGTAGATGATGGAATTATTTGTCAAGTGTCGATAAATGCACCAAGTCGTGACACAGAATTAGAAGAAACATTAGATCATTTCAAGAAATTGCTTTTGCTTTGGTTAACTGAAAAACAGTGTGCCGGCGACAGTGTATCGGAAGAAATTATTTGCGAGAAAGTTAAAAGGATACATGCTGATCTCGAAAAATCAAGCAGAAACTAGCGAGGAAAGAGAGGTGTTTAAAGCCAGCCATTTTTTTTAGATGAGAACAGATTAATCATTTTTACATTACTTCTTATGGAAAAGGTTGGTTTGGTATACATCCTATTCAGTATAAGTCTGAACACTAGGAACAGATTAAGGTCGTATACTGAGGTTCCACTGTACGAGGGTGAATCAACTATAAACAAGATTTTTGTTCCTGAGCAACTAAGGTTGGTAGTACAGGGCACACACATCTAGTCTGATTGGGTAGGGTCATTAGGAGTGGGGAACACCGGCCGTTTCACACTTTCAACCAATTCATCAGTAATGCTCACAATGTCAGAGAAACAGGTACACCCCTCTGTTGTGCAACACATAATCATACAATTTCTTGCTCTTGAAGGAGTCAATGCAACAGAAATTTTTTGCAGATTGACTGCACAGTTTGAGGATCAAACACTGTCAAAGACTCGTGTGTTTATCTGGCATAATGAGTGGACAGTGATTTTCCACTCATGTCTATGAGTGGAAAATCAGAAACAAGATTGCTGTCCTCGGACCAGCATCACAAGTGAAAACATTTGAGTGTTTCAAGACATTATTCGAAGCACAATCAATGCTGCTTACTATTGCGAGCTGTTGGATAAAGCTAAGACTGCATATCAGTGCAAGAGACGAAACCAACCGATTTGAGATGTCATTCTCCTTCATGACAACATCAGGCCCCATACTGCAGCTCTAACAGCCTCAAAACTTAACGAAATGCACTGAACTGTACTTGATCATCCTCCCTAATGCCCGGACCTACTACCCTACGATTTTCATTTGTTTGGGCCATTTAGAGAAGCTATAGGAGGGCAGCAATTTGAAGATGATGCAGGAGTGGAGGAATTCATGCACAATTGGCTCCCAACACAACCAACTTCATTCTACGATACTGGAATAAGAAACCTTCCTTCTCACTGGAAAAATGTGTTTCTATAGCAGGAAGCTATGTAGAAAAATAAATCGTAATGTTTTTTTTATTTTTGATTGATTTCTATCAATCAAATATATAATAATTTTATAATATTAAGTAATAAATAATTTTAAAACAAAATAAATCCCATTTATATTTGATCCCATTAATCATCATGTTTTCTTATATAATATATATAAGAAAACATGATGATTGTTATTCTGCAATACTTTAAAATAGCAAACAAATTTTTGGTTTAAATATCAGGTAATTATCATATCATAAGACTATACTATTCTAATTATAATTGTTGTTATACCATAATTTTTATTCTAAATGTTTAATACTGTAAAAATAGCATATTTTAAGTCTATTTTTATACTACCAGATACGCCATAAACATAATCGATGGGGGGATAATATCTGAAATGCATGTTTTGTTTGATTAAAGCCTAGCTTTATACCATTTCACCATTCCTTCTGTATGATAAGTCCATTATAGCAACTTTATGCTCACACAGTAGACATGAATGCAACCATCACAAGAAGCTTTTAAATCAAATAAATTATATTTAGCTATTTTACTTAATTATTTTGGTTCTTGCACATAAAATTACATAAAAAGCTTAATAACTTATAAATTGTCTCATTTGTAGATAATCTAGGATATTATCAAATTTACAAAATGATTCCTACCTAAATGTACCTGTTATTATTACATAATAGTAGTTATAATAATAGTTATAGAAATTACAATTATGTAGATACATGAAAATTCTGTAAAGTAATTTATAGAAAATTAATGGCATACATTTTTTTAACAAATAAAAAAAAATCGTAGAGCAAAAAATAATCTATTTTTTTAACCATTTTTTAAATAACACAACTAATACTAAGAAGTCACTTATACACTTATATAAGTACCATATTCCATTTTAAAATCTAGTTTGTATTGATTCCATTTGATAATTGTCTTATCAAATAAAGATAATTTTAAATGATTACTAGAGAATTTCCAAAAGTATCATCTTTGAAATAATTTAGTGCAGAATATATTTAAATTATAAATAATATTTTACATATTTTTATTTCTGAAGTTTATAAACAAAACATTCATTTTAAATGAACAAGTCACTTTTTAAAATGATTATTAACTATTACCAACTTATCAATAAAAAGATGTATGAAATTAAGATAACAGTAAATAATAATAATAATATTATTATTATAGCATATGGAGCCAGATCCTTTTAGTGTAGGTCAATAAACTACCCAAACATTAAATAATATAGAAAACATAAAGCAAAAAAACAAACAGCAAGCATGAAGACATTAATGATGATAAAAGATTTATTCACGTATATGCAGCACTTATCAAGAGATAAAACGAGTTAATAATTGTATTAAGGGTTGTAAATTGTAATAAATTCATATGTAAATCTCGTGTTTAACTTTTTAAATTGTCTTAATAAATCGACTGTATGGAAATATAGGTTTTATGCTTATTTCTTCGATAATTAGAATGGAAACGAAAATATAACTCACGTTGGAGCGAAGGGTTAATTCCTATTGTATTTTATCATGATTTTGCGTGCAATCATCAATGCGGAAGCGAGCTAAATTCTAATGACCAACATTTAAATCTTCGCAAACTCCCGAAAGATGCTCAGACGATTATTGTTCCTGAGCAACTAAGGTTGGTAGTACAGGGCACACACATCTAGTCTGATTGGGTAGGGTCATTAGGAGTGGGGAACACCGGCCGTTTCACACTTTCAACCAATTCATCAGTAATGCTCACAATGTCAGAGAAACAGGTACACCCCTCTGTTGTGCAACACATAATCATACAATTTCTTGCTCTTGANGATAACTTTGAATGGGTATACAGTATTTATATGAAAGCCCGAATTAAATAAAATTTCGAGTAATGGATTCGTTACGGAAGTGAATTATTCCGTTTCGTTTCTACGTTTTCGGCGTAAATTAGGACCTAAATTAAATTGTCGCTTAGAGGAAATTTACCTTTTCTTTTTTCGAACGAGTTTTTTTAGAGTCATTAGATAGCGGCATGAGAACGAATTGTTTCCAATTGGAGGATTCGGGTTTTGTGGCGCTCTATTCTTACGAGTTAGTAGGAATTCATCTCTTAACTCAAGAAAGTTAAAACAAATGAAAGCAAAACGAAACGGAACGACTCGCTTGTATTTTCTAAAACAAAAAGTTAACTGAAAAAGGTGAAAATGAAAAAAAAAAGATCCAATATATATATACTGTATATATAATTATTGATACAAAAAGCATTAGCATAGATAATTTAGTAAAATGAATAATAATGAAAACTGAAACAAATTTAAGAGCCATTTAAAATGCAATAAAATGAGTACAAACATTTTATTGCAATAAACGCAATAAAATGAGTACAAACAGTATATAAACAAATTGTTTAATATATATCTATAAATCACGAAATTAAATAGGAAAAAAAAAGTAAAAAATAAACGTAATAATTATGAAATACTGAATCAGTAAAAAATATAAACCACAAAAGATTGTAAAGCATGTGATACTCCCAGTGGCGTACCGTAGTGGGAGCGGCAGGGGCGGCCCGCCCCGGGCGCACTTTTTAGGGACTGCAAAATTACCTTTCAGGAGGCGGCAAAATTTGACAATAAATAATAATAATATCTTGTAAAAATTTGAAGCATCCTAATCTAAACTTGCATCGCGCCTACGATAGTGCTATCGTCCGGACAGTCTTGGAATCGGCTCGCCGGGTGAACTAATAACCTTTTTGTCCGAGGAATTCCTGCGAAACTTGTTGGCCCTTTTTTTTGCTTGTACGATTCATTCGCGTTCATATACACCACTAATATCCAATAGAACTATTTTAAACAGGCCGCTGCACTACCACCGTATTTTTCTTTGCTTGTTCTGTGACAAAACTGAATTTTGGTCTTTTAAATTGAAATACCTAAATAAGGGGGGCCGAAATTTTCCTCCGCCCCGGGCTGACACCCACGGTACGCCACTACATACTCCATAAATACAGTTAGCAAGTTTTTTCTTTCATTTTTGACTTTACCCTAAGATCCCTAAGAAGTTCTTTTTCCGTGCCCTTTGTGGGTTCAAGACTACAATATGATGGCCATGTGGTAGGCTGATGCCTCGACCATCCGGCTGTATACATCAATGAACGAGTGAATTAACCGCGTAACACCAGTAGTGTGTCGCTGGTTCGCACATTACCTATGGGTTGACCATACGGAGTTCTTCGGATTTTTTCACATGTCTAATACCAAAATAGGGGTCAGTTTCTCATAGAATGTTATCAGTAACGCGCCGCTCAGTAACGCCCCTTGGCAGATCGTTCATGTATTGCATTGCTTTCTTCCAATCTAAACAAACTATTCGTCCGTCTAATTTAATATATTATAATTAAATAAATAAATTACTATAATATATATATTATAATAATTTGTTAATCAAGATCGTATTTTAATTAATGACCAGCCTTAAATAGTGTAAATGAGAGAAAATGTAGCCAATTCGTATGACTTTAATGTGTGGATAAAGTAATAGAGTGCAAAAAATATTATATTCAACGATAGAGATATTTTAACATTAAAAAATAAATAAATAAAAGAAATAATAAATTAGACATTTTTTTTCCATTTTCATGTCTCAAGAGATGTGCAGAATATAAATATCGAAACCCACAAATTTAAAAGTTTATCCAATCATCTGGGTAATAATCGAAGAGGAGGAGAAAGATACTAGAAACATTCTTTAACAGTATTACGCGAATATATTTCAAAAGTATTAAATTTCAGTGTGTAATTTTTAAGCTATTGACTTAACGTCAAATTTTGACAATTACTACTGTATATTAATAAATGCGCCTTTTTAGAGTCGCTACTCAATTAATTTTCGAAAACATTCGAAAGAATTCTCAAAGAACAAATAACTTTCGATTACAAAATTTATGAAAAATGTCAGTAATCGATATGAAACCGGCTTTAACAGTACGTACTCGACCTAAGAGGACGTTTCTGGACATTGTGCAACGTTATTCCCCTTTGGTTTTAAACGAAAATTGGTTTGAGGAGAGACTCAAAGTAAGTCTAACCAGCCTTATGTTTACGTAAATAATACGCTTTAATGATTTTAGGTTAAAAATTATAGTAGATACTGTAAAAAGCGCCAATTCTAAGAAGCCGGAACCCATTCGGCCTCCCAGTAATATTTTAAGTGGTGCTGACCCCATTAGAGTTGGAACCCATCGATCCTGTTGTATCTGTGATATCTTATCATTTTCCTTTTAAAAGATTTTTTTAAAACTATGCCTTAGTTTGAAATCATGAAAATGAACGTAAAGCGTAGACTATTCATTTTATAAATTTTTCGTTTCTAGATATTTTCATTTTATATACTGTTCTACTGTTCTTTGAATTCACACGCACACGCACACACACCCACACATGTAGTAAGTAGTAAGAATAAATCAAATTTAGTTAATTAAACACAAACTTAGACTTTTATACAACACAATCCTCGAAAATTTAATTGAGGATAACAATTTTATTTAAAGATGCTGTCAACACATGCTGTTATATGAAATTTTTATGAAGGGGAGGACGGGGCAAGTTCGTCAATTAAATTTTCTTTGAAACAAAATAAAATGAGACTCTCTTTAGAGACTAGACAATTGAGTTTTAATTAATGACGACTTGTTAAGTCTGGTGTCTGTGTTGTTCTCTGACAAGCGTAGTTGAAACATCTAATAAATTGTTTGTTTCATTCAATTTCTTATAATATTTTGCTTTCATTTATTTAAAATTGGCATGTTTTGTTATAATTCCATAATAACGAAAGTTATTTTTCCTGTTAGAAGGATAAAACATTAACTTATTCACGTGGCAGATCATGGCTTGGTACCTTATTCTCAGGGTTCCACTTAATGTTTCTAAATCATGACTATTGTGGCATCTTCGGCAGTGTTTCCAATCGTGTTTTGCTATGGTTTGATTTGGTCGCAAACAATAAACAACAAGCAGAAGAAATAACTGGATCCCCATACAAAGCCACACCAGAAGTCAAGGCTAAAGTTAAAAAGTCAGGAACTTGCAGAAGGGCAGTGGATTTGGAGAAATTGGATTCGAAAAGTTCACTAAAAGAAAGGGGCAGAAAAGTCCTAAAGAACCGGAAAATGACGATGAAAATACTTATTGCATATATTGTTGAATGAACAATATGGAACTACTCAGGAAAAGTGGATTATGTGCTGCAAGTGTAAACTGTGGGCTCATGTGGACTGTACAGAAAATGAGTTGGTTCAATTTATTTGCGATATTTGTAAGGCATAGCCTAAAGAATTTGTTGTTAAGCATATTTCATTACTACTGTTTGTTCGAGTTCACTAATTCATTTATATTGCTTTTAACTTGCATAAAGATGTTTTCAATTATTATCTGTTTGATTTTTTTGTAATTAATTTTAGTTTACATTTTCTTTACTTATATATGTCTTTTAAACTCGAATTTCGTTGTTATAATATTAAATAAATTTTTGGACTTGCGTTTCTTTGATTTAATAGTGAATTCCAATTTATGCATTGTCAATAACACAAATTTATTTATCTGTATATCTTGCCCCATTACTGTTGCCGAAATTGCCCCTACACCAGGAGCAATTTCGGCAACTACTATCTTTTTACAAGGTTATTATTCTTATGATTATTTTTATTTTCAAACTGATTTTAACCAGTTCTATAGTAAGGTAACACTCTAGTAGACAATAAACAAAGCTTTTCTTTCAGTTTACAGCAATATTTGTTATACTAAATTTAAATTATTCTTATCGTGCCGAAGTTGCCCGTCCTCCCCTATATTTTAAATAACCTGTAGGTACTTAGGCCTTTTTTCGCTACTCACCATGGGTTCGGTTAGACCAGGAGTCTCAAACTCAAACTCAGCAAAGGGCCAGCCAGTCAAATACATGTATATCAGACACGGGTCGTATTCAATATTATTCGGTAAACCAAAACATATTGTAATGAAAGAAATGCACTAACAAAGACCCTTTTGTTGCCAGGCCTTTACGACTTACGTAAACGGTTAGAATTTTTCTGTTTTAATCCCCGCAAAATGTTCGGCTTTGATTTCTAAAACATTGAGTTTTAGAAATCATGAAAGCCGCGGGCCGGATATCAAGCTGTGAGGCTCTGGACAGGTCCGAACCCTCACTAAAATTCGCTTTAAAATAATTTTGTTTTAAAGAAAAAATATAGTAGTTAGAAATAGATTTTTGTTTTATGAAAACGCGACGCTAACTTTTAAACAATAGAAGAATGTAAGTCCGTCGACCATCTCCGGTTGCAGATCGAATTAAACTTCGATTTTGACCTCTCCCGCGCCCCCGAAAGGTTTCGACTTGTCATCAGGTGACGAGGAGAGACCAATCGGAAAGTGGAATCGGAGGAAAACGGATAAAACCCTGGACATTCAAGGACGCGACGGCTTCTTCTCCCGAAAGTTCCAAGTGGCGGATCTATTGTTGTGTGTGTGTCTCGCGCCCATCTTCGTCTCCATCTCTCGACCTCGGATCGACATCTTTCCATCAACGGAAGTCGACCGCATCGTCCTGGAGTCGTCGAGACATCGATGGAATTGT